CTTCTGCCCTAGACTCACATGAGGATCTGTTACTGAGTGGGCAACAAGCACCAGGTGGCTGTCGTCATATCTACTTTAAATAAATGCACTTTTGTTAAGGACAGAGCAGGTGCTACTTTCTGCAGCAATATCAGTAACATAGTTCTAATGTTGTTCCTCATTTTTTCTTTATCAGTAGTAAAAAAAAAAAAAAAAAAAAAAAAAAAAAAAAAGCTCACATAACGTATCAGTCAATGGTTGAATTAATCTGTGGCCAAGGTTCAGAAATTGTTTTTGGAGTTAAAGTTCATAAAAATAGTTTGATATTGTAATGGACTGCGGCGGAGATAAGGCTGATGGGCTGCAGGTTAAGGCTGATAGCAGTGCGGTGTTATACTAGGAAGTGGTTGGCCAACTGTAAACACACTTGCCGCTCACCCGGCTGAAGCCTGAAGTTGGCCAACACACAAACAGACTAATCATGACCCACGCTGATACCAGGCCGCTGGCTGATGAGAGGCACGGGATCAGAAAAACAACACGACACACAGACGTCAGTGAGCTGACACGGGCACACACAAAAAGCGCACAGAGCCACACGCCAAAAGGCTGAGGCGACAGCGAGCTCCTGTACAGGCCCGAGCCAAGGCCTCCCTCACTGATCACAACACGGCTCTGCCCGATAAGCATCTTGCGCAACACATAGATGCAAGACACACATACAGCGCACACTCTCTCTCCTTCCCATTCTTTTTTTGAAAGCGGATGATTTCAACATCATTATCAACAGCCATTGGGAGGGATAGATTGGCAGGCAGAGTATAAGGGCCAAACATGGATATCACGTCCAACACACAACGCACACACACACACATACACACACACACAAATCTGAAGCACAAACAGTAAACATGACTTAACATGACTCAGTCTACTTGTATTCGAGACACGTGCTCTAAACCAGATACCTGTGCTTTAGTATATGAAAGAACACTTAGTATTAGACTTATAACTCGCTGTCCCATATTCACTGTGAATGTGACCCTAAACCTCCTAATCACACTGTAGGAGAAACTCTAGCCAGATAAGTAACACTTTTTTTTTTTTTTTTTTTTTTTTTTTTTTTTTGCATGCATGCACGGTTGGTCTTCTCCAGGTCGTTTTATCTTTGTGAGGATACATACCCGTACATCAAAATCAGTCTGACAACACACACCCACGCCCACATACACATCAGGTTTCTCACTTCCCTCTTATTCTTCACAAACAGTGATTTATGCTGAGCGGGGATATCCAAGTGACGCCACTATCAGGCATCAGGCGGAAAGTAAATAAGAAGTCACTTTCTGCTTTATCACCATCAGATGATATAGTGTAGCAGAGCACAGTGCTGACACATACCAATACACATACAGATTTAAAATACCATGTGCTTGCTTAAATGACAGACATCCCTTGATTTACGTTTATAGCTGTGGTCCTGGAATGCGGGACAGCTACTGTATAGCAACCGCTATAACTTACTGCCCTCGACAACAGGTACACTGCTTTTCATGTTGGTGCATAAATCAGAGAGACCGGGAGCATGAGCGGTTACTGTACACATGTTGGTAAGACATTCAGGAGCAGCTCCAGGTCTCCTCTCTTGGTAATAGCAAACACGTGACCGGAGGCACGGATACAGTGCCTCGGCAGTTACACTTGAAAACATACAATCTTGCTTAAACACACACATGGGCATTGCGCATGTAAAAATCCCCAAAAAGAGGAGGGGGTGGGAATTATATATCTTCAACCTATTACCTAAGGGTTTAAACTTTTTTTTTTTTGTAAATGTTTATTGTTCAAACATTTTTCGTAAGTATAATTAACAGATCATACTCCTTATTACTCCTTAGTCTTAGTTTAGTTTCTATGATCATTGTTTCCTTTATGGATAATTTATGGTAAGATTGAAACCTTGCTGTGTTGAATTAAATTAGCTGGGAGCTATTGGTACAGTATGTGGATATTTTGCAACACACATGTTGTTGTAGGAAAGAAGGCACACATTTTTGCTCATAGACACACACACACAACAGACACACACAGACACACACAGACACACACAGACACACTCAGACACACACAGACACACACAGACACACTCAGACACACACAGACACACACAGACACACTCAGACACACACAGACACACACAGACACACTCAGACACACACAGACACACACAGACACACTCAGACACACACAGACACACACAGACACACACAGACACACACACACACACACACACACACACACGCGTAACCTTGTTTGCTGGTGTGAAATCCAGGGAATGTGGCAGGGTTCAGAGTTCTTAGAACACCAGCAACACACTGCGGGCCTACCAGAGGAGCCACAGTGTGAGAGAGAGAGAGAGAGACACACACACACATACACACACCGAAACATACACATGCAATGGCAGCACTGTCAGTGAGTCAGTGCGTGAGTCACACTCCGGCTATGCTGCCTCTTGATTTTATAACAGCCGCCAGCACGGCACTGTACTTAATATTCCAAACAACTGTACTGTAGGACACTGTGACACACATGCACATATATCCACATATGTATACACTGTACTTCCACAGACATTTGTACACACACATGTATGTTACAAACACAATGTTTCCTCTGGCCTGCACAAATAAGATGGAGGAGTTATGTTGACAAATGTACACATTACACACTCACTTTCATGCCTCTTCCCCTTCATTCAAACACACAGAGGCACACCCGTCATTGGGGATGACTGCAAATGAGTCAGAGGGGGAGAGGAGGGAAACCTTACCTCTTTGTGTGCCAGATCTATAGGAGAGGCAATCATGTGGTCCTGCACCACAGATACTGACTACGTGACATTTGACCCGTGAATCCCTCCCCTTTACCTTCTCACAGCAGAATGTTTGTAGCCTTTGAAGGAGCAAAATATGGACAGGTGTGTACATAAAATATCGTTCCAAGACATAGCTCTAAATCTGTGTCGGCTTCTGAGGTGGAATATTAAATCCCCACCTGTTTCACAGTGCTAAACTGGCAAAGCAGGCATAATACACTGGCTCTTCCTGGCACTAATATGGTGAATGTCAAGTAAGGATCAAAGGATTGAACCATTTTACCAAGCCTGCATGGCTCAGTCAGTTCTTTTTTATGTGGCACTGTTTGCATAAAATGATTCACTCATAAAATCAAGTTTTAAGTGCAAAAAATACACTACATATTCGGATGTTTCTGTCTCACAGTTCAAAGCTCAGTTTTGTGGCTTTCAAAATGCAATCATTCTGCTTCTCTTGGGAGGTAACTGATAAGAGGCAATGCACTCACACACACACTGCAGCTACCCACAGGTTGAAAAAGAACATAATGTCTCCATATCCAGGTTTCCTAAATTATACAGTTCAGGTAAGAAAACTTTTAAACGTCACCCTCTGGTGGCAGTTTAGAGGAAGTGAACACCCACGGAGCCATTCAAAGGAAAGGTTTTCTCAAACCTTGGAAGAAGCATTATTTATTTAATAGGTATTTTACTGTAGGGGCTATAAGGTTGCATTTAGTCGTGGAAGGCACTAGCAATTTAGATCGATGTTCAGAGAGGAAAAACCTGTAGCACACGAGTTTGCTTCTGGCAAAGTAAGATCAGTGGCACAGGGCTCAAGGGAAAGGTACTGCATATGAAAGCAGCTACATGAGGCTGACGTGTGCTGCGGGTGTTGGATTTGATAGGAGTGATGTGACGCTGAGGGGCAATGAGTCCGACTCAATGATGAGGACCTGGGGTTACAAATGACCTCTCTCAACTGTCCCTCTTCCCTCCTCCCTTCTCTTCACATCTGGTTCCTTGCATGGGTATCCCTGTTCGTTTTTCAGCCTTTGTTTTTAACAGGCAATGAGTCATAACCACCTCATCTCCCTTTGTACCTTCGACTCTAACATGAAGATTGGAATTTCTTTTACCACTTGGCTCTCACGATTCTTTTTGATTCTTTCAGACCCTTTTCTCTCACTGGTCACGGTCCATTCTTCTACCCTGTGATCAGGGAGTGGAGCCTTTAGGTTCATCTGCGATTGGAAAAGCTCTCTGACTCACCCGCTCGCACAAACACACATTTTATAGGTGATGACTCATTGCAACACAGGCCATTCAGATCCACAGTACACTAAAGTCAAACTGGTACATTCGTGTGACTGTTTGCGTACACATTAACCTTTATATGTATCAAGGTGCTGTTGCACAGAGGGCTGATGACACGCCACATGCACAACTTTTATCTCACAGAATCACTGAGATAACCAGTGTTGCTGTAAGGGAGGTTTTTGTTCTCATATTTGTTACATCAAAAAGAAAACTCTTTCTTGCTTGGGCTACTGCTCCCTGATTATGCATGTGTGTAAATGTGCCTATATTGTTTGTCAAACAGATAATGATATAAACCTGTAATATGCATGTGTCTGTGTGGACAAATCCAGAGGCAGAAAACTATTCGTCATGACATGGGCAGCTGAGGAATGATAAATGTGTTGGATGACTCATGCAAGACAGACATAGGAGCCATCAGCTGACACAGTGGCAGCAGCCTCCACTGTGACAGACAACACATTCTGTAACACATGCACATAATTGGTTTTATACAGTGCCATATACATATACAGAAGCATGTCTCCAGTCACACACACACACACACATACATATACTGATAAACACAGACAGCATATTGCAAAATGTCCCCGACTTCATTAGTGCCACTTTTGCATGTCTGCGGAAGAGATGAGTCACTTTCAACTGCAGTCGTCACATAACTACTGTCACTTAGACTGATTCACACTCCGAACAATTTCTAAAATAACAATCAACCTCTCTGCTGGCATTTTTATGCAAAGTGACTAAGGGTACACAATGTACTTATTATAGAACAGCAATTCACTGGAACAATGCAGAACATAAAAATTGATTTTTTTGTTTTTATTCATAAAGACGAGTGAACATATAATGCACATTTTGGCATTGTGCATGATATAAAAATATAGAAAAGACAGAAGTTGGTTAGAATTTCAAAGACAAACGGTAGTAAAGAACAGCATGCTCTCTTGCAAAGCATCACATGACTACAGTACATCGCAACTACAATACTGCTCAGACCACCTGTGAGGGAGATGAGTTTGGCAATGACACAGCTTTTCTTTTACAACAGTATAAAACAGTTAATACATTATTTTCGACATCCTCTTTGTTCCATACAGACAAACACAAAATTACACAATTTAAGAGAATTTAATTTTCATCATCTGTGTCCTCATCTTCGTCTTCATCATCCTCCTCCTCCTCCTCTTCAAATTCCTCTTCGTCCTCGTCCTCCTCCTCTTCTCTTGTCTGCCGACTACAAGCTCTTTGTTGCTGTGACAACAAATAAACAGTCACTGTCCCACTAAAACACTTAACAGATAGTCATTAAGCACAATTGGTGCTTCCTGTTACTTTCTGAACATTTGTCTCAACAGTTGTGTTGGAGAGCAAAGACAAAACTTGTACAGGTATGACCTTAAGACACCTGACACCAAATTCCTCAAGTTACATTCGTCATAACTTGTACTGTAGTACTATTTGAACATAAATATGTCCAATGTTGAAGGACTGCCAAGTTGTGGCTGCCAAACTTAGAACAGGACTTACTCTGTGTCATCATGTTTTACTTTTGTTAGCATTGTTTCTCTGTAGTTTTATCCAGTATGTAAACAGGGTTTGCAATCCATTTTTCTAGCTGTGTACCTGACTACAAGTATGTTTTTTGTTTAGGAGTGATTTCAGTTTTTAAGAGATAAAATCAAACTTAATCATGGAAACAAAACATGATCTCAAGATGTGACGCAGGATGCTTTTGAGACACATTCTGATGACAGGTGTAAGTTGCAATGTGCCTCTGTGCGCTACAATCTGGACATCTTTAAATAGAAGATACTACATCTGAATGCACCTTATGAGACCTGCAGAAGACAGGTCCTCAAAGATATCAAATGATACTCCTCATTTAATGAGAAAGTGAAGCCTAGATGTCCAGACACTTTACAAGTTATCAGGTTAGTGCAGTACCACTGTTAAGATGCTGCAGTAACACTGTGACTCTATGAGGAAATGCATGATGTTACTGGCATGCTATGACATGTGGAAATTCAAACTGAAAGATGGCTGGGGTGATGCCACACATAAACACTGGCAGGACTGATAAGACTAACTGTTATCGAGCACCACTCTCTACTGGTATGAGGAAAACTACTGGGTTCAAAAAAGGAACAAGGGATTTTTTTAAATTTCATCATTAAAATGAAACTTCCAACCGTCAAAGACCTTAAAGAGGGATCTTCTGGGGAAATTCTAGTTTTTAATCAGGTATTAAAATATTTCCACTGTCTACATCTTACCTGCAAGGTCCCTGATGTACTCAGGAAAGACCCGGTCCGATCGAGCGAGGTTTTGGAATTAGCTCGCACTATGTCTAATCGTGACTGGTAGTCAGGGGGGTGCAGCGAACTCCTGAACACCTGCCAAAGACAGTAGGAGGCGCTAGACTTTTTCACAGAGACATAAGGGAAGAGGAGCAATGCCTACACACACGCGCCTACGTGGCACTGATTATATTGCAAGATAGGTAACCACGATTTTAAGGTATGACTGTAAAGTGGCCACTGTGTACAAAGAATGAGCACACAGCTCACACACATGCAGTTTAGGGATATTAGGCAATATTTTGGGGTATTTTATATCACAGATATATAAAACCTGTAGTTTCAGGAGAAAAAACCCACAAAGACGAAATACCTAAACTGGAATATCCGGCAAATCAACAACTAGGCTCGCAAAACATGGGGTCATACGTAAACAAAGCAGCTCATAAAATATGCCTCAGCAAACTGGCATTTAAACCACACCAGTAGTTTTCACTGTATAGAAAAAAAATCTGCAAAGGCTCTTGATCAGGATTATCCTCATGCCTGTCATTGTGCCTTTTTTTCAAATGATTCAATCTCCCATGCTTTGTACTATGAGTCACTGAAAAACAGCCTTGTCTGGGTGAGGAGTTTCGCTTCAATATGAATGGAAGGGAGATGATTCAGTGCAAAAACACACAGATGAGATGGCAAGGGGTGGAGGAAAATAGTACAAGGCATCTGCAGGAGAAACCTTGCAGGTTGAATATCATTGATCTTTTGTTTTCTCACTACAGGCTTTATCTCTTAAAATAGTTCAGCAAACCTCTAAGACCAAACTGTAAACGGAAAAAAGTAGCTAGAATGCATGACTCTGAATTGTGCAGTTGTCACCGCAGGTTACTTCTAAGTTACCACATCAGTTGAAGGGTGTGGACTCTCGAGCACATATGAGCAATGAGTGGATGAGTAATAGGTGCTTAAGACCATGATAGCTTAACCCTGTTAAATATCAGGTTAATCAAGTACACAGCAGAGGGTGTATTAAAAGAATTATCAGCTTTTATCCTTAAGTACACTTTCACATTTAAATGCATCTTTTTTTCTGAAGTGTTTGTAACTAACACTCCAATGATTATGTCAGGTCAATAATTACACCTCAGATTCTCTTATACACACACACAGTCATGCTGGCAAATGACTAGGCTGTGGTTAACCTACCTCCAGGTCCTCCTCCTCATCCACACTATGAATGCTCTGGTAGGCCAAGGTGTATACCTCCAAGGCCTTAGCATGGAATGACATCTCCACTGTCAAAAACTCACCAAATATTTTCTATAAGGGGAAAGACAATGAAAATATTTCAATATTGAATAGACTTTGACATGACTTAAATGAATCACAACTTCCTGCTGAATACAAGACATTAAGAAGAGTTCTGAAATGACAAAGCAAGAATAGTTTCGACCAACTGAAGGAGGATTAAGAAGTGTGGGCAGATGTAAAAAGAAAAAAAGAAAAAAAAAGACCCTTAAAATCATCACTGTCTGGTTTCACTTCACTGTCACCCACTGCTTCAACGGACACATATTTCTCACTGCAGAAACTGTAATTCTTAATTTGAGGTGAGCCGAAAGCTTGGTGCAGCAGACCTTGATGTCACGGATCTTCTGCTTCTCAAACTCGTCTATGGTCTCCTCCAGCTGCCTGGTGGTCCGTGTGGCATCCATGGTGGCTCTCTGGAGCTCACTTTCAGCCTGATGGCAAAACAAAAGAAAATGCAACATACTACAAAACATATCAAACTAACACAAGTTGGGGCCAGTTTGAGCATCACTGTTTTCACAATGATGCATGAATTATAAAATCCAACAGCATCCATTTGTGCTTGTTGATTTAATATATTAGAAAATTAGTACATGATGTATGAGCTCATTTGTATTTGACAATACAGGAAATCAATAATGTCATTAATGTGAAGCACTTGGAACTAGGCTTTCAGTTTCAGACCTGCAGTTCAAGTCCAACCTGTGTAACTTCAGGTACTGACATGATAACATGCTCCTTCCATAGGAAGGGAAAGTAATAGCCCCTGCAATTCTGACACCTGTGTCTCCTGCAAACATGCAACTTTAAGAAATTCACTACACAGAGAACAGAGGAGCTAAAAAAGTGGATGTAGATTGAAATTTATAGAAGTGGCGTCACAATGACTAAACACCTTCCTGTCGTTGAAAATCTGCAGTGGGTTTTTGAGTTTGTAAGTTAGTTAAAAATCACTCCCATGATGTACTTCACTAATATTAAAGAGTAACGAAAACAACAATCTGTAGCTGGCACTGCATTTGACAACCGAGCATTCATTGATGACTACTGTTGGAGTTGTTACACCTCCATTGCATTCATCACCAGTGATGAGATGCACAGATTACATGGGACGCACCTGAGACTGAAGGCTTGGTCAAGGAAACAACATTCAAATATTTCCCTATGAACTATGAACTACACACTGCACTTGGGTACAAATTGTCATTGCATGAAGTGCATAGGAAATAAATTTAAAGTAAAGCAATATAAACCTTTTCAAACTTGATAAGATAAAAAATCTAAGTAGATTCAAGTTTATTTTCCTGTTGAAACATTAATTCATATCAAAAACTTAATAAGGAGTTAATCTGTATCCAAAATGTCACCTGCACTAAAATGCATATAAGCAGTTTTTGTAACATTGATGTCTTTTTTTGTCTATTCACTATTACAGAATTGGAGAATAGAAGAGAAACAAGGGAAGGATACAATGATCTGCCTGTCTGAGGGGTTTCTTTGTCTGGTCCTCTCAAGCTGAGCCATCTGTTTGGCTTCTCTGTCTCTAGCACTTTGAGTTGTCTTCAGATCCTCCTGCATGGATGCACAAGCACACAGTAGTCATTGTGAGAATAAACAATAATAGTCAGGTATTTAGGTAATAAGGACATAATCTAACAATTATTTGGTTTACCTCAGTGTTTCACAATCAAGTCCTCAAGTACACCTTGTTGTGCAAGTTTTGGTATTTTTTTTTTACTCTGAAACAGTTGGTAATATTCAAGGAATGGGCTGAATGATATATTGTTTCAGTTTTGATGGAAAATTATTAACATTTACAATAACATTTTGGCACACTCGCTCTCTCTGTACAACAAATGACCAATCACAATCATTCTCAAAGCAGGCTGATTCATTAATGAAAAACAAGCTAAGAAGCATTGCATTGATTTTTTTTTTTTTGACTACTTTAAAATGACAAATGTGCAGTTTGAAAGTATTTTAATTTATACAAAATATGACAAGAAAAAACAGCAACTCTTTTAATAGTACTTTGAGGCAACATCATCAATCTGTATATGAGAAGTGTAAAGTCAGAACTGAATGCAGTAGTAGATCATTGCATACATCTATTTCAGATAATTCGCCTAGTACTGTACCGAATGACAAAGACACTAAATATCACAAAGAAACTTGGTATTTGCCATAACAGTAAGTTTCTTTTGATCCTTGATCAATGCTGCTCTCATGTGGCCATGCAGTGGTACTGACAACAACAATAACTTCATTTCTGATCCAACTATGTCCTCACCCTAATCCTCATTTTGGAGTGACATAATCATTGCATCTTTGTCATCCAGAACACATTTGTTCTTGAAGTGTGTCATTCAAAGAAACTGCAGTAATTTAGATGCAACTGAAACACAAGTTAGGGATGCTGTATCAAGACGGGCCAGGGCAGGAAGGTAAATAATTTCACCATCTTTGGGGCATTTTAAAATGGGATTTCTTAACAAGCAAGGATAAAACTGAATATTGATGTCAAAGCTCTGATTAATGATTCACAAGTTAATTTATGTAAACATTTTTGCATCACCATAATTTACTGTAAAATAATCGCAACTAAATCCCAACATGGCTGTAGCTCAAAGTAACACTTACCCTTTTACGTTTCACTACAGCTCCATAGCTTTTTAATGGCTCTATGACTTTGGCTTCAAGTCTTTCCACCTACAAGGCAAATAAGTTCACGTTAAATCTTACTGAACAAATTTAGACTGTGGCTGTAAACATGAAATTATCAATGAGGTCAAAGCACAAGCAAGTAAATGACTGCAGTTTTACCTCAGCTTGGCGGTAGTCTTGAATCTTAGCCAGGTGGTCAGCATACTGCTTCATACCCCTCTTCAGGTTTGGTGTTTCTGTGTCTGCATACAAGCCGATTTCACGGACCAGGAGGTCTGCCTTGTCTCGTAGTCTGGCTGTTTTACGGACATAGGCAGCAAACAGTTGGCACATCTCTCCAAAATGCTTCTCCACATTGGTGATGTTTTCCTGGATCTTTCTTGTCTGGTTGTCCCTGGAGAGGGTGAACATGAACAGCAGTAATCAAACAGTAGTTTAGCTAAGTGTGTGACACACAATCACATACTTGTGTGGGGAAGAAATTGCAAAATTTCTGTTTTGACAACACGTGAGTATGAATTTTCTGTCTTCACCTACGTGTAACTGGCCATTGATAACCAAACCATCTTGTAGATGTGCTGTACAGATGTTTTTTTTTTTTTATCATTGTTGATGACACAGACAGTCATTGTTAGTTATTTTTTTGATAAAAAGGACATTTCCAGTAGGTAACAGTGTGTACGCTTTATTTTGAACACTGTTAACGGTCGGTTTTAGCGGCTTGTGGCTGATGATTACAAGTCACTTTGAGAATAAACAAAATTATCATAGTTTATTGTTTTACAGAAGAACAACTCTTTAACGGTGACATCTCTAATAAGTGTAATGCGTAAAAGCATGTAACCAGCAGCTAGCTAACCCACTTTTTTTATCCTCGCTGCTCTTGCTCTTTTTTGTGAACGCTAACGTTAACTTACAAAACCCCAGTACCGTTGACGAAGCGTTTAGTATGACGTGTTGAACGTCTTACCTCGCTCTTGCATCAGGAGTGCGACTCATCTTCACCAAAATGCAGTACACTAAATGTAGTCAGTGTACAGCAAAGTTTATCTACATCCAAAATCAACGCTAGCTAACTATGCTCGCTTCCAGGCTAGCACGCCAGTCTGTCGTTTCCATGGAGTCCCTAGGCGGTTTCCGCTTGTGAATAGCACTCTGGGAAATTGAGTCGTTTGTTGACTACTGTCGTACTGGTTGAACTTTTCTCCTTGTTGAAGTTTAGCTACAGGTGCAGGCTCTTTACAACTACTCTTGTAGTGACGAAAAACAGAGTGAGCTCTGAGCTGTTTCTTTTGAAAGTTGAAGGTGAGGGAACAGAGTTTGTTTTGATAGTTTTACTGAAATGCAGCGTCTTGCTCACCTCAGTTACACAGCCTGTTAAGCAGCAAAGAGAGTACATTTACACAAGTACTGTACCGTGGATGTCGTATAAGACCATACCAGAGTAAATTTACCTAACTGACCTGAACTATACTGTACTGTTCTTGTTGTTTTCCATTGTATGCTACTTTTCATGTCTATTTTCCTTTTCCTACTCCGCTATAGTAGGAAAAGGAAAATATAGTACCTTTTACTTTAAATTTATTTGAGAGATAATCTAATAATTAATAATTTCTTCTTGAATTAAAATCAGATCATACATACAAAATATGTGATTAATTTATAAAATAATGCATTGTAAAAAACAATTCAAAATTTGTGATGGAACCAACTATAACATAATAAGCTACCTACATGTTAATCCATCAAAAAATAATGATATATAATGATATATAATATAATTTTTATAGCACTCATAGCCCCTTTGTATGTATAACCAGTGCTCTCACTATTCATATTGGACTGCAGTCACTGTATACCACTGTTTTACACAACCCTTCTCATTCATCCTTTCACACAGATGGCAGTGGAGCAACCATGCAAGATGCTGGCTGGACCATCAGAGGCACCTGGGGCTCAGTGTCTTGCACAATGACATTAGGAGCTGGGGATCGAACTGCTTACCTGTGATTACTGGACAACCCGCTCCATCCACTGAGCTTCAGGCGCAATACTGTGTGCTTATGTAAGTAAAATTGACGTAGGACTTTTACTTGTTAAGTTTTTTTTCAATATTGAATTGTTTGTAAAAGATGCAAATATTTTCTCCATTATTGCAACAGTTTGTTACAGTTGTTACAGTTAAGAATAATTTACAAAATAGAGACATGCTCTGTCTTTAGTTGAGATTGTGATCTCTTATTAAATCAGTGATATTTTTTTGTTATGAATCCCCCGTTCATATACATAATTCTTTTATGAGAGGCTTTCTGTGACCTTATATAAATATTATTCCTTGGGCCTCTTAAGAAAATCTACTAAGAGTATATAAAATGAACATTTGAAGCTAAATGTCTCATAAAGACTGCTGCTCTCACATGCACCATCTCTGTTTTTCACTCTTGGATCTCAAAGTTAAATTATGTGATTAAGCCCAATTGTTATCATGCTAACTAAAGACAAGCTTTAAAAGCAATTATGCAATCCTTAATATTGTGTCACATTAGCCAAAATATCAAAGAAGCAATTTTATCATCTCCAGGGTTTCTTTCCTGGGCAATAGGAACTGAATATCCCTGCTGGATGAATCCAAATATTTGGCTATGGTTTCTATAATTCCCAAAATAGATCAAGGTACATTGCCTACATTGCAACAAAGAGGGCCACAAATAGTCCTTTTCAACAACAGCTTGACTGTTTTTGAACTGGTGCCAAGAGTAGACTTTGTGATCATTGAAATGAATGGAGGCCTCATTGTAATTCCCTCCTCTGTGTTTGGGAATGCATGAATGTCACCAGCTGCCACGTCTGCTCCTCTGTGGAAAATGTCCAAAAACCTTAATTATCACGCTTAATCATCCATGGGATTGAAGCACGGGAGATCCCACTGTAACAGATTGGCGATGTAAAACATGGTCATTGCATTGAGCTGTGTGCCTGGAATCCCAAGAGGATCTGGTTTATACTTCCTGGTAAAGCTGATGCTGGTATTGATTAATTTTTTTTGTTAAATGCTTCTCATATAACCTTCCTCTGCTATGGCTGATGGGTGATTACATCTTTTTTTTTTTTTTGCTTATTTAATGAAAATATCAACTCATTTTATACCAGGAAATCTGATGGGATAGTGGTGTCCTACATGCTGTCTTTTTAGTTTAGTGAAGATTATAGTGTGAATTCCCTGGAAAAAAATATTTAGGTCAGTTTGACTTGTGATTAAAGAGCAATGTTTACAAGGTTGAAGCTAAACCTGAATATCATTCAAGACTACACGTGTACAACAAAATTAATTAATAATTTAATTGATAAGAAATGTTTTACTCAGCTCAAAAAACATGCAAAACATAAGAAACAACATACATATCCAAAACAAATAGAAGTGCAACTTTTCTGTTTATTACTGTAAACCTTTGTGTGTGTGTGTGTGTGTCTGATTATGAAGTGTGTGAGTGGTTGTGACTGTGCAAATTTCTTGTCAGATTATTTTGTTAAAGTAAGAAGAGTCTTACAGACAAAGAAGTTCCTCACTTTCTTCAGTGTGATTGCATCGCTCAACCACATGATGGCAATCCACTTCCATCTGTGAATTTGCCTGAGACACAGGCGTGAATTTGCCTGGTTACAGGTGGATTCTGAGCCGCTCGTGTAGTACTCCTTCATACACGAAAATATTTCACAGACTCGCGTCTCTCCTTACCGTCTTCATCATCATATGTTTACATTACTCAAGACTCCCTGGCAGTAACCCAGGACTAGATTTAAAATCCCTAAACATATAACAGATGCCAGTCTAGCCGACGTCCTACAGGATCTTTGTGTGGAACGAAGCCTGGGGATGTTGAGTTGTTTGACTTGGCTGCTAGTAAATGTATTCATGAGTGGTGGCATCTTTTTAGACTGTGCATCTGACTTTCTTAAAGAACAGATGGTGTTGTTTTCAAACTACCAATTAGCAAGGAGAGGGCAGCAACCACTAGCAGCAGCAGCTCTCTCTGCCTCTTTCATGCTCTCTTGTCTCACTCTTGCCGTCTTTGTCCCTCTGTGCCCTCTTGTTCAGTCTTCAGCTTTCTCTGTTTCACTCTTTCTGCCTGGCGCTCCCCCTCCTCTGCAGCTCTCCACGCCACAGCGGCAGTACGACACTGGAGAGATGTGTGGCCTGCTGAACAGATTGGGAGTGACATATGTCAGACGTAGGGGGACTTAGTGGGGCAACCAAGTATGTGTCCCCCAGCGTGCTTGTGTATGTGTATGTGTGTGTGTTTACTCGACCCCTTCAGGTGTAAGTCATGGTGTGAACACCCCAGACTCGAGGCTGTCCTCCCACATGGACGCACACATAAGGCTTTAGATTCCCCCGTTAATAACAAGAAGGAGTCTGTGGGAGGCCTGTGTTTGTGTGTGTGTGTGTGTGTGTGTGTGTGTGTGTGTGTGTGTGTGTGTGTGTGTGTGTGTGTTCAGGGGCGCTGAGGATTATGAACAGTGTGATATCTTGTTTGCCACTTGGTGCATAAAATGAAATTACAAGCCAAGAGTCAATATCTCATCATGCTGATTTTGGCTAACCTCGCTCTCCTTCCTTTAACTGCCACATCCCTCCGACTTGGCAGAGGGACACAGCACTGCTCTCTTGCAGAAATTAACCCCGAAATATCCAGTGGGAAATATATCAATCTGCTCTCTGTACTTCAAACTCAGCTTTCAGTGTTATAACTTTTAACTAGTCCTTAAATTAAAAATGTATTTATTCTCAGATGCAGTTAAATGCTCCTCTGGAGAATGTAGAAAAATTCCCAAATCTATCATAGTCAATCAAGATGACAGTCGTGTTCAGTTCAGCTTTTACATTCAGCCAAACTTTATTACAGCACAACAGATTTGAATTAAATTCACTGATGTAGCAGTCCTTTCCACTGCCACCACAGCAACATTTCCCCTCAGTCCTGATGAATTCTTTATGTAGATGTACATTATATTTGTCATCACACATAAATAAGATGTTCCAGATCTTTACTTCACAGACAGAATCACATATTTCACATATGAAATTCAGTGGTATTCCCTTTTAACTCCAGCAACCTTGAACAAAAGTCCTCTCTCTGCAGTTAAGCGGGTGCTTGAAGGGCAAGCCAACGCAGACACGGTCCAGTGCTTTTATTGACCCAATGAAAAACCTCTCTGTGTCTCCAGGGGCCTGGAGCTCAGGTTAGGGTCTTTGTTGTCTGCGTTCATTAGTGTCTCCTTCGCCATCCCTCTCTCTTTCTCCCTCTCTATCTCTCTTACTCTCTCTCTGACACTTCTTTTTCTAACTCCCTCACTCCCTGTCTGCTGCTCTTTTCCCCCGAGGAGCTGGCGAAGAAAATGTCACCAGATCAAATTAGTGGGAGCCTCCAACACTGCCTGTCTGCCTCTGTCTGTCTATTCCACCGAGTGATCGCTTCACTCATGGAAGTTTCGAGAAGTTTATTTGTGTCCAAACTTTATCTTCCGCAGGTATGATACTCCATGACTCTAGTGGTAAAGTGATTTTTCTTAAAGTAGTTTTAAAGTAGATTTTCACCGTGTAGTTCACCACTGGATAATTGAGATTTTTTTTCTTAGTTCTATCATGGTCACAATTCAGGTTTACACTGGTTCATGGGTTGGGGAGCCATGTAAAGGAATAAGGAAATATGCTTGCTCGCTTTCTTGCTGAAAATTTAGATATGAAGCTGTAGCAAGGACAAGGTTATCTTAGGTTGGAATAAATGAACAGAGATGAACACAGTATATCTTGTTTGTTTTTATCTGTACAAAAATTGAAGAATAAAAGCGATGAGTTGTGGTTTTATGGGCGGATAATGTGCCAAGAAGTTACTTCTCCCAGCCAAGAAATAGCACGGCTAATAACACCCCCTGACACCACAACTTTTAGTTTTGAGACTGTGGTTTTTGAACAGATTAAGCAAACAAAATACAATGTACCAATCAAGCTTTAGAGGTGCTGATAGGCATATTTTTCTTTTACCCATGCCAGCTGTTTCCCACTTCTTCAAGTCTTCACGCTAAGCTAAGCTAACCAGT